CCTATTTGGCGCGCCAGCGGACGCCGGCTGTGGCCCAAAGAACAAGTCAGAGCCGAGAACTGATAAACAAAACGAAATTATATTCTCAATAATGGCAGATCAAAACAATACACAAGTATGCACACTCCACAATAGTTGAGTACAATATGTCACCAATCAAACAACGTACTACACAGTACAATCAGTTATAATCGAAACAACGGACACCGACAACAATACGCACTACATTGCAGTCGCATGCATTGAACAACCAAGACACCTAAAGACTAAAGAGATAGAAAACCTATTCAGTCCAAAGTTCTTGAAACAAAAGTCTGGATGATACTCTTCCGAGAATCACTCACTCAAAGTCCAGCGTTGTTGTCATTCCACAGCCCCCGCGGTTTCTCTTCCAGGAAACCTCGACTGCCCCCGAAGTTTCTCTTCTAGAAAACCTCGCGTCTTCACTTGGCCACTCTCCAAGCTTCAACCTTCTTCGCCCGAAACACGTCGGATTCACACATGCAGCTGTTGCCACGCGTCTTCGCTCGATAGCGGTAGACACACGCTCTTGCCTGTAGCTCGAGCCTTCAACCTTCAGGTGGAAATCCTCTTCTTCTCCTGCTTTGTCCCTACGGACAAAACCTTCGCCGACTATACGGCGGAATCCCTACGCGGTCTGGCGCTAACTTCCGTCTTCTCCTGATCTCTCATCTCGGCTGCTCGATTAAATACCTTCCGCGTGAGGTTCCAGAAAGTTATCATTTCGTCGGCGTGATACGCCGCGAAGGCTGGGGAGAGGCGAGACGGTTCGAAGGCCGTCCGTGACGGACGACGCAACCCGGCATCACCCCGCACTTTCCTTCTAGAACATTCGAGGGCTTGCTCGGGCGCCGATGAGAGGAGGTTCGTCGGCGAACCCACGCTTCCGAGGGAGAAGGACGCGCGCCCGGGAAGTCTTTGGATGCTTGTTTTCTTTCTTTTTTTTATCGTTGACCTCTCGGCGCTTCGTCGCGAGAATTTGATGCAGCGCCCTTTTTTGAGCGCTCAGTTTGTGACAAAAGCACGAATGAGGAAGGTTGACATGTCACTTCAAAATTAGCCCAATGTTACGAGGCGGAGGTAAATTATGCCGTACATGGCTTCCATGTCATGTTTATCATGCTTGGACGTGCCATTTGCCTTCGTAACTTATTGACGTCACCTTAGTGAAACGGCCACGAGAGCGCTGTGAGCATAGCATGTCATGTTTTACATGACACATATTATGATTATCATGTTTGTACCTCTCATTTACACTCGTCGTCCACTCACGTCACGTAATACCAAATTTGGTATTTGCGAAACTAGTGAAACGGCTGCGACCCCACTTTGAGCGTTGCATGTAGTCATGCTTCACATGACATGCTTATCATGATTATCATGTTTAGACGTGTCATTTACCATCGTCTATTCAAGTCGCGTGATACCAAATTTGGTATGCTAGCGAAACGGCCGTGAGCGCATCATGAGCGTGGTATGTTGTCATGTTCTTACATGACACGTGTGTCAGGATTATCACGTTTGTACCAGTCATACAACTTCGTCATCCATTGAAGTGACGTTACACAAAATTTGGCATATGTGGAGCTAGCGAAACCACCGCGAGCGCATCATGAGCATGGCATGTAGCTATATTCTTACATGACACGCATCTCACGATTATGTTTGCACCAGTGACATACCCCATGACGCTATACAAAATTCGGCATACGTGAAGCTACCGAAACGTGGAGAGCACATGATGAGTGTAGCATGTAATCATGTTGTTATACGACACATATGTCATGATTATCATGTTTGGACGTGTCATTTACCTACGCCTTCTATTAGCGTCACGTAATACCAAATTTAGTACATGTGAAGCTATAGCGAAACGGCTGCGAGTGTGTCATGAGCGTAGCCTGTAGTCTTGTTGTTGCAAGACATGCATCTCATAATTATGATGTTTGCACCACCCACACACGCGCGTCATCCATCCACGTCCCGTAATACAAGATTTGGTGTAAGTGAAGCTAGCCAAACGGTTGCAAGCGCATCATGAGTGTGGCATGTAGTCATGTTGTTACATAACACGCATGTTGTTACATGACACAGCGTTTTCGGACGCCATCCATCAGCTGGCAAGAAACATCGGCACAACTAAACGCATCCAGTGGGTTCCATGAGGGGAAATCTCTGGTCAGCTATAGACTACAGTCCGAGAGGTCGAATAGCTCTTAAACATACACAGGAGGCACAGAACACGGAGCGATGCGCATACACGTCCGATCGTTTTGAACGCTCGCAGCGCCCTCAAGATATTAACTATAGCTGGCGTATTTGTTTGTTCAGATGCACTCAACCGGAACATAAAGATTTTTTACAATTTTTCTTCAGGCAAAACAGCTTGTGGACATTTCAGGATTAAAGATTACACATAGTCATTTTATGCCCTCTGTGTGACGTGCTCTACACTACATTCACTGAGCATGCCCTTCGAGGGTGGAACAGCGCCACACATTGCCGATCTCGGGGGCCATGTTACCTACCAGCGCGGGAGAATTTGATGTGTCGACATTTCAGGCATGCCTTAATTGACATGTGGGGTTTAACGTCCCAGAACCACCATGTGATAATGAGAGACGTCGTAGTGGAGGGCTCCGGAAATTTCTACCACCTGGGGTTCTTTAACGCGCCCCCAAGTCTGAGCGCACGGGCCTACAACATTTCCGCCTCAATCGGAAATGCAGCGCCGGAGCCGGGATTTGATCCCGCAACCTGCGGGTCAGCAGCCGAGTATTTTAGCCACTACGCTATGCTTGACTACGGCTGCTCTTCATTGCGGATATGCTGTAGATAGGCGCTGCAAAGAGAAAGCTGCGACATCTCGAGTTGATGGTTGCGAGATCACAGTTAGCCAGCGGAATCACTGGCAGCCAAAGATTGCGCTCCACCCACCCTCCCCAAAAATTCAAGAGCGTTGACAGTGCAGACGTTAACGTCGACGTCACTCACATGAAAAGAGGTGAGGGACTGATCCAAATTCAGAAGTCACGTCACTAGCAGTAGATATGCATGTTCAGCGATATCTCCCCATGAGTGTGCGATTGATATAGATATGTGGGGTTCAAGACGCAAAACCACCACATGAATAGGAGAGACGCCGTAGTGGAGGGCTCCGGAAATCTTGACCACCTGGTGTTCTTCAACCTGCACCCAAGTCTGAGCACACTAGCCTACAGCCTTTTCGCCTCCATCGAAAATGCAGCCACCGCAGCCGGGATTCGATCCCGCGACCTGTAGGTCAGCAGCCGAATACCTTAGCCACTAGACTACCACGGTGGGGCAAGTGCGTGATTCAAAGGAGGAAAAGTTGAAACCAAGCTTCTTTGTGTACAGTCGGCTGCTAGCTTAATACGAACTCTGCGACGTGTGTCGTGGCTTACTTTGACTAACGCCAGCCACGATGCGCTGCATGGCACCGTTGCCAAGACAATGCCTCCGTATGCTTGGATAGTATGTCGGCATGCATGGGTAACTCCTGCGAAACACAACGCACGCGGCGCTAGCATCAGTCGTGCGATTTCAGAACACGTGGCCAAACTGACGAAGGTACATAACGGCGACGAAAAAAAGGCATGGATGGATCACATGCTGTGCAAGTGTACCGGTAACGCGCAGCAGTCCCCTACGAACCCGGTAGACATGGCAGTCTCGAACCGCGAGGCGCGATGGGAGGTGGCTTATGCTCAGCAACGACCTTGCCGATCAACTGTGGGCCGTCCGGCAAGCCCAGGATGCCGCCCGGGTCCAAGGACTCGAGGCCGTCACCTAGGCCAGGGTGCTTGTAGCCCCACCCCGCTCAATTACGCCGGACATGTTCAATAAAGTTTTTACTCACTCACTACACAGTTTACCCCTAACAAAGGCTACGTCAAGCTCGGAGGGCTCACTCTTGACATTGAAACTAGCGCACTTTCATTATGGTGGAAGCTTGGCGAAAAGGTTTCCAGGGCTGCTAGAAAGCGTCATGCTGGGCAGAGTGGTGGCCACGGCAGCATGAAGCGAAGGTCCACAGCTTGGCTGCTGCGGCTGTTCCAACGGTTTGTTACGACCAGTTGGTTGGGAAAGTTCGTTCGCATTTTACGATCGCGTGTACGTCACGCACATCCACTCGAAGCAAGGCATCATTTCCCACAGAAATCTGTTTCACACCTGTTCAGCAAAAGAACGCTCCCTTCTCGCCACTGATTAAAAATTGTAGGCAGGAACTACATTATTTCGTACCTTAAAACCTACGTTCAGAGCACACACACGCTTTCGCAATCTTTGTGATCAGCTATCCATTTCCGGCAGCTATCGGCGCGATCAGCACAACAATAAGGCAGTTACGTCAACGATGACACAACTATTGCACGCTGGCAGCAAGCATTTGATAACAACTGCAGGCTGGACGCTACCACGTTACCTCCCAAAATGGCGGTGTGATTATGAAAGGCGACGTAGTTGGGAGCTGAGAGTTGAATTTCGACCACCTGAGCTTTATTTTGAATGTGTACAGTCCACAGTGAAACAGGATAATTTGGGGCTAAGTAACGTGATTTCGACTCGTCAGAGCCACCATTATCTTTAGAGATTAGATTCGTCTCGACATGTCCTGGTTATGTCTAGCAATTTCGAACACCAGTGGTTACACTAAAAATGATTTCGTGATCAAACCGGTGATTGCTCTACATAAATCCAAACACATGAGCCCTTGCATCTCCCCGACATTGAAATGTGGCTACCTCACGCGGGGTTCGACCACGGGACCTTAGGTTCATCGGTTGGACACCATAACTATCATACCACCACGACGGATCCACAGGCAAGGCCCGGACAGCACCGTATACTGACAGTGCGATGAATCGTTTTCTTTTCTTTTATTTTTTCTCTCGCAATCGGGGCGTGCATGTGTCCAAGACGATCGCGAGTCAAGACGACCGGCGGCGTGGTACCCCTCAGATGCCCAGCGCTGACGCCATGATGTGGTGGACGACGAGGGGCTTCTGTTGCTCCTGCTGCTGCTGCAGGGCTGCGGCGAGGGCCGCTTCACTGGCTTCCTTTCGAGACACGCTGAGGAAGATCTGCTCGAGGGACGTGTCGGCGATGTAAAAGTCGAGCAGCTTCAACTTCTTCTTGATGCGCGCCATCAGGATGAACATCTTGCTCCACGGCATGCGAACCCACGAGATGCGAAACTCCAGGACGCCCTGGTAGAAAGATCATCTATATTTACGGATGTGTCAATGAAAATACTTAAAATGCACGTAGCAGCTCTCCTACAACATCGCAGCCGATAAAAATGAGGCACTGTCCTTTATACTCGACAACTTTCTGTGGCAGCACAGCCAAAGCTACGTGAGCGGAGATTCTGCACTATAATATTACGCCGAGTAGTCCGTTTTCGGGCAGTTTCGGTTGCGCAAGCACATACCACATAGGCTTTTTCGCACCACCATTCTATATATCTTACATTTTTATGGGAGGAAACAAATCAAATGTTCTTTTTTTAAGAGAAACAACATGAACCTTTTTGAAGCGTTGAGATTTATTTCAGAAAAAAAAGCATATGGCCGGGCAGGAACTGGGTAATTAGAACAACGCAAAGCCAAGAAACCACCTCCTAAATTTCAGTGCATACTTGGTCGGCATCATTGTTTTCCTTCTTTTACAGACGCAAGAACTTTGTAGAAACACGCACGTTATTTTTCAGGGGACGCAAAGGCAATGATGGGAAGCAGAAATCTTGGCACAAATCCGTTATGATCGGGCGCCTGACTTTTGTAAATTTAACTGAGTAAAACGCTATCTTTACTCGGCCAAGAACGCTATTTTTGCACGATCAACAGGGTAATGCACATGAGCGCGTCTGTTATTCAGGCAAAGCGTAAGGAACGGCACTCTCCGCAGACGCCGACGGGAACTGTGTTATGGTACGCGACCTTCAACATTATCGTATCAACAATATTCGGCGGCCGAAACACCAACCATGTACGCAACGCAGTTTAGAAAAAGGGTCATAGCTTTTACGTACAGTTTCCAATCGCGATTTTTCTTTTAAGCAGCTGGTGTTGCTGAAGACTGGCAGGTCACCGGTGTCACGCTTCGATGTGAACTTGCTGCAACCGAGCGACGTCATCGTTGTTTACCGGGGCAGGGAAAAGGGTAAATTTTGGTCTCTAGAATACTGGCAACATATTCAAAGGGACCATAGTGAAATTGCTCATGAAAACCAGAAAACTAGAAACAGCAGAGAACAAAAACCTACACGGGTGATGCTTCTTAAGAGGAATGCGAACAATCTTGACCATAATATTTACATCCTTTCTTTTTATGTTTTCCATTAGGCTACGCAGTATAGGAAAGTTAGCGTTCGTGGACTACATGCTGAAGCGTAGTAAGAAAGGGCGTGCTTGGGCTTCGTATCCTTCGCTGTGCTGCCACAAAAAGCTGTCGCCGAGTATAGTTAACAGAAGCATGCGTTAAACGCGTGCGCACTTTTTCTAGGCACGTGGGAGCTTAGAGAGGAGTTGGCGGGGTGGGGAGGGCAGCGTGGTGGCGATTGCCACACTCCCTGATATGATGTTTTACACCATGTTCTGATCGTAAGGCACTCAGTGAGCGAAGTTCGGTAAAAGCGGCATGGGGCTTAGGGGGGGTGGGGGGGTGTGGGGGCTCTGCGGTGAAACATCGTCCCCTCCTCTACGCACGTTGCTGATCCATGCTGAAGTTCCCAGTGCAAAAACTATACAAAAGAGAGGAGTATCCGTGCTTCATCTCTCTTTCAGTTTTTTAGCTTCGCGCCGTGGAATTCTGCACTTAACGCCGCTCATGTTCAATGCCACATGTTTGGGGATGGGTATGTACACTGGTAGCAAGGTCCGGTTATTACCGAGAGGCGTTAATAACACAGCTGCGTTAATCGGTCACCCTTACAAGCAATCAAAACCGGCCCGATACCGAACTTCGTGAACGCGTGGCGACATGTCTTTTCACCTCGTACGAGTGCACCAGTTCGGAGCCCGGGAAGGCTGTCCAGACGGCGTAGACGACCTGTCGCTGGTAGGCCTCGTCGTTCTTCCTGTCCGGATAGGTCTTGACCGTAATGGTGTAGCCCTTGCCGAACTTCGCTTTGAGCTGCGGCAGCGAGCCCAGGCACTGCAGTTGGCCATCTCCCAGGACGGCCATTCGGTTGCACAGGAACTCGACGTCCGTCAGGCTGCATGTTGTGCATGTACGCAGGCTCATAGGTCTGTACCTTATTGAACAGAACAAAATTGGTACAGAGGCTGCAGATCTCAGCTAGCACGGTCTATAGTATTCTATGATAATAATAATCTTTGGGGTTATAGATCCCAAAACCAGCATAGTGTTATCGGAGACGCCGTAGTAAAGGGCTCCGATAATTTCCACCATTTGGTGTTCTTACATGCACTCATGTTGCACATGCACAAGCCTCTACCACTTCACCTTCGTCGAAATGCGACCGCCACGGCTGGGATCGAATCCACGACCTTCGAGTCAGTAGCCGAGCACCCTAAACAGTCTGCCGCCGAGGCGGACTGTCTTGAGTATTCTACACTCGACAAATAGAAAAGCAATGCCCGTGTGACAACGGCGTTTGGAAGGCCTACCAACCAGAGAGGGAAATGTTTATTGTGGCAGAAAATCTGAGAGGTCAGCCTACCAACCAATAGCCTATTGAATCAATGGTCAAGCACAAGTTCTTTTGAGGACCATCGAGCCAATAATGTGACGAGTCAATGAGGCACCGTACAATTCTATCAAAACTTCAACAGCCATTGAGGAATAAAACGGAAACAGCGCGAACATAGCCGCGCAATGAGAATGGGCTCACGATCACGATTAGAAACTGGGAATCCAATCAATGCGCTTTAAAAGCAGTATATGGGGCGTTGTGACTTACTTAATAAACCGTTTTTGCCACTTCGAAACGCGCAAACCCCACAAACCTTCAACAAAAGCAATGTGCTTGTCTTCATCGTGCCATCTTGCTGTGCCGTGTTGCCTCAGTTACACTCCTTAAAAAAATTGTGAGCCTACACTAATAATTCATGGGGTTCAACCTCCACAAACCACGATAACATTATAAGGGACGCCGTAGTGGAGGACCACGGAAATGTCGACCTCTTTTTTTTAACGCGCACCTAACTCGAGGTGCATGAGCCTCGAGCCTTTTGCAGCTCCATTTATATAAAATCATGGACCGTCTCCCTAAAGGGAACCCTGATGGGATGCGAAGCAACAGTGGTGCGCATGGCGTTGACCCTGTTGAAACGGGCGTTGACACGGGTGCTGGGAGAACGGTTTGAAGTGAAGGCTCGCTGTAGCGTTTACTCAAAAAGAGCCATGTGTGTAGTCACCGAACCTAGAGGGAAAATTACAGCCTGCGCTTCAATAGATCAGGCCTCGACAATACATGCAGAATAGGTCACCATAGCACTTGCAATGAAGGAGGAATGGACGCGAAACGCTTCATTAACAATCATTGCAGATTCGCAAAAAGCTTGCAGAAACTATCTAGAGGGTAAAATTGGAGCACAGTCGCTCCCGATATTTGTTGGACAAGGATGGGACCCCACAGTAAAATACGTAGAGGATATGACGTGGCCACCGGGGCACGAGGGTTTGACAGAGAACCTGCATGCGGGCGAGACGACTCGTGGCTTTAAAAATCACCGATCCAAGCGAGACAATGCAATAGAGGACCCTGCACCCCTGGACCCTTGTTTCAGAACGATCCTTAAGCAATACAGGGAAAATAGGCAGCTCTATCTACGTCCAGATAGCAAGCTCAGCGCTTCAGAGGCGACAGCGCTAAGAACCAACACTTATATAAATCTGTACACTCTTCACTTTATCTACCCCACGGCGTACAGAGACATGCCCGTGGTGTGTAGCCACCCCAACACTCTCACATCACGTGGGAGTGTACAGAGCACGACTAAAAACACGACACCAATAGCACACGGAAGGAATGGGAGGCGCTAATGTCTAGCCCAGCATATAGGTTGATTACCTGCGACATAGACGGAGCTGTACGGATGGCTCGTGCCAGTGGGCCCTGGAATAGGGGCACCACCCTTCCGGACAGACTACGTTCTTCACCCTGTATATTCCTCGGGGCACTGGAGTTCTAGCCTGTTTGGTTTATGTATATAATAAAGTTTTGTACAGCTCCTACCACTACGAGCAAACGTTGTTTGAAACGCAAAGACCCAGGAGGCAGGTTGAGTTTCGTGTAAGTTTTCATCGCAAATCAATGTGCCGAAAGAATGTTTCCACTCGCTGTGTAGTCGAACGTTTCGGGCGGTGGAGAGGATGAAGTGAGAGAGATTGTGTTGCAAGTGGGCAGTGGAGCCGGCAGCCGCGTGCACTGTGGCGAGCGTGCTGTGGGTGAAAGAGAGAATGACGTCATCACGCGCCTATGAGGGGAGCGTGACGTCAACACGTAGCTTCGGCGTGACCTACTTGGCACCGCTCCAACACTTGCGGAGAGGAGAACGCGTTGCGGTGCGTTCGTACGGACGAACGCACGTACGACGTTACACACGTGTGTCAAAGAGCTGCGTCGTATCTAAAAAATGCGGTCACGTGATCGGTATTCTATCCCGCGATTTTCGGGCCAACTTAGACACTTGATACGTATTCATAGCTCGGAGTAAACAATTTATTGAAACGTTTACACATAAACAGCCAACATATACATGCTTTAAAATTATTTACATTTGAGTGACATGAATACGGAAACAAAGATCCGCAGCACCACACAAATTTTTCCGAGAAAACGCCTCATCCACTCAATGCCCATTCATAACTGTCGTATAGCAGCGCGACAACTTCATCAAGCCCATAGAGTTGCAACGTTTCTATGGCCATGGAAACGGAGGCGTTTAGTCACCGATCGTGTACCAACCCAGTATATACCCTATAAAGTGTACGATGGATAGCCGCCTTGGTGGCTCAGTTGGTAAAGAATCGGACTCGTGATTCAATGGACACAGGTTCGGTTCCTGCCCATGACAAGTTATTTTTTTTGTTCTTTTCTTTCTACATATTCAGATTACAATTACTTCTAATAACATCTTTACAGATTACAATTACTTATAATATCATCCATTATACTTTCCTTGGCATCATTTTCTGTGAAATGTTAATATTATTGTCTTTAACAAAAAAAGGAGCCCATAAATGTACACCTCTTTCGTCCAGTTTTTGTTTCAACACTGACAAGTTCAGTTTATTTTCTAGCATACGCGAGTACACGATGGCTCCGACAAACGACACGCACTACCATTCAAAACCTCCTTTGTACTCATAGGGGATCCTAAGTACGATAAAATTCGTCACCTGTGGGACGTGAGGACCACCGACATGTTGGCCACATGCTGCAGTGCGCTGATGTAGTTGACGACGCGCCTTCGAGCCATGGGTGCCACGCCCGCGTACGGCTCGTCCAACAGCAGGACGCGGGGCGTGCCCAGCATGGAGATGCAGAGCGACAGCTTGCGACGGCTGCCCGCACTGTGCGAAATGAGGTGACGCTTTGCTAGGGAAATATTTGCGAGTGAAGTTCTAGATTGACTCACTTATAACAAGATACCATAATTTTTTAAGTGGTCTAGAACATCCACTATTCTTGCAGTGCGCACAGTTTTGATTCTAGGTTATCGTGAGATGATGATTTATTTCGCAACTTTATCGGTCCAGAAAAATACAAACCTTACTCCCCAAAAGGCACAATAAAGATATTGTTTTAAAAACTACGCGTTATACCAGACAAATAATTGCATACGTAAAACCAGCACGTAGATATACCAAAACTCACCAAGTTTCATCAAAATCAACTGCGAAAGTTTTCAAATTGGGCTGGTAAAGTTACAGTAAAACTTTGCAGTGTTCGTTTCTTAACCTACTCTAATTTTACCATGAGGATAAAACGGCTACAGCACAAATATATAAGAGCTAGCTGCAATACAGTGTACCTGTAGGTGCCCACGAGCTGGTCGGCAATGTCTCCGAGGCGGTACACCTCGAGGAGCGTGTCGAGGTACTTGGGCGTCAGCGCGATGCCCTTGAGACGCGTGAACAGCGTCAGCGTCTCCACGCCCGTGAGCATGTCGAGCAGGCCGTCCCGCTGTGGACAGTAGCCGAGATGCTGCTGGAACTGCGGGTGAGAGAGAAACGTCTTTATTCACAAAAGCATGGAGAAGGAGAGGTGTGAGAAGAGCCCCTATTCTGGGGTCTTTAGGACGACTCCAGCGACGAGCCGCGCCCGCTGTATCAGAGCTCGGACGACCTCGGGAGGTCCATCGCGGTGAGCATCGTCCCACAGCTCCTCGTTACGCAAAGGGTGAAGGAAAGCAGGTAAGGGAGGAAAGATGTTCGCAGTTCACTCGATCGAGACATGGAAGGTTGTGGGCGAGTTTCCACAGCCGGGGCAACGGTCTGCATAGCACTGCGGGTAGAATTTACGAAGTGATACTAGATTGGGAATTTTTTAGTCTGTAGCTGGCGTAACGCTGCTGCCTCCTCTCGCGAGAAAGATGGCAGTGGGGCGCTCTGGGTGCGATGGACGTTCCTGTAGTGACGAAGAATGTCGAAGTGAGAAGAGGATTCCCTCACTCCGAAATGGTCGCCTCGCCTTGCCGGGCCGCCCGGAGGAAGAAAAAAGACGCGATGTCGAGATTAGCCGATAAAAAAATTTCCTTCAACAAGATCTAGGACTTTGCAAACAGCGGGTGGCGGGAAGAAAGCGGAAAGATTGAGTTGGCTGGATTTGACGGGAAAATATACTGGCTATGCGAGTGACAGGAGACAAAAAAAATGGCGAAGGTTGAACAAAGTCGCGAAAACCTTAGAACAGATAAGATGGACGATTATGAAGTCTAATCCGGTTCCTTCTATGTTCTTCCTGAGCTTCAGCTAGTTGATGCTAGCTGTTTCTTTGTTGCTTCTCAGCGCAGAGATATTTGAGTTAAACCAAAGGCCACATGGATGTGCAAAGTGCACAGACAAGCTCGCACTGAAACATAACGTTCGTGCCTCTCATAAATCTACCGGCACCTTGTCGTTCTCATAGGAATTCCGTTGCTTTGGGTCTTCTCGTAGCCACCATTGCGTTTTCCGTTTTCTATTCGTTCTGCGCATACCACTGAAGCACTGCGGGTGAACGCTTGAGCGAAGCTGCGTTGATGATGATGATGATGATGATGTTCGAAATTATTCTAAATGATTATGACCAATACGATGAAGCTAGAAATGGGACTAAGCTGCCTTAGTCTACGATTGCATACATTCCCATGATTTCTTCGAAGTCCGACAGTTTTGAAGGCATGTTGTCGGCCTGTTTTGTTTTCTTGTTCAGTGTGCTGCGAGGTTTTTCAGTATTGTTTTCACACTACTACCACTCAAGGACTCTCTTTTAATACAAGAACACCCAATTACTTCGTCAAACGTAAAATAAGAGAGCCTTTCCAATGAATAACAAAAGAAAGCAGCACATGGGTCTTCTCCTGTGTGTATACACATTAAAAGAAAAGTGTCCTTTTGACTCCTCTTTTACACATGTGAAAGTCACGTCATTCGTGACAATTTTTGAGAGGGGCGAGTTAAACCTCTTTATGAGGATCATGTGATGTATAATTCTCTTCATAAATTGACGTTGACTATATTTATCAGAGTCGCAGGACGCATGGCTTTGAAAAGGAGAGTCAATGTGTCTCTCTAGAAGGAGTTCAACACCTGCAACTCTCACGTGTATGAAAGAAGAGTCAAAGGACACTTTTTTTTGCTAGAGAATAATCTATTGCAAAAGACCACCTCCGCAGGCCTTGCAGCCTAAACCCCGATATGGCATGTCAGATAACCTAGCACTATTCAAGAAAATAAAGGGTGTCTTTACCTCCATAGTGTCTTCGACGATGGAGGCAGCGCCGATGAAGGCGTTGCCAGAGTGGGGCAGAATCTCTCCCGTCAGTATCCGGAACGTCGTGGTCTTTCCCGCCCCGTTGGCGCCGAGGAGACCGAAGCATTCGCCTCTGCGCACCGTGAAGCTCAGTCCCTGCGAACCAATCATTGCGCTAACGTTATCCTGGACTACAAGCACTCGTCGTCATTATCCTCCTCTTATTCAACAGTCACACTGTATTTCAGTAATACTCTGGCCCGAATTATTAAAAAAAAATTCGTGAGCTTGCTTCCTAAGTCTCTTCGGCAAAAGCCTGTGGCCAATCGACTACGTCATGTCTTTTTTATTTTTTCTATTTTGTATGTTTTCTTTGTTTTTAGGCTCTTTCAGTAATCCCGTGATTTCCGAAAGATCGTAAGAGGGGAGTGGGGGGGGGGGGGGGTTGCTGTGACGGCGCAACTGTTGCTATGCGCCACTGTGCCATCATGCGATTGGCTGAGAGAGTGTAAGGGCGAGAGGCCACAAGCTGCCACCGTTTCAGGCCACGGACAGACGGGTCGTAGGATGCGATCACAAGACGTTCAAGGCGTTTCGCCTTGATATAGGTGGACCAACGTATTTTGAGAACAGAAAATTTGGAACACGACACAACTTACAGCGAGCACACAACGCACCCGCTATATATGTCGGTTTTGACGAACAAGACTACGGCCTTGCAGATCAGTATTTTTCAACTGTTAGCGACAACGTAATTGCATACGGTGATCATGGTTCTGTGGTTGACGATATTTTAATTTTCCACGCTTTCATCTGTAGAAGAGAGGACCGACCGAGTTAGCAGCGAGTGCATCCACGATGCCTTAGTGGGATCCGTAGTAGGCAGCATCCACGTTCGTCACCGAATGTTTCACGCTACAGTTCTTTAACCTATTCTTTTATTTTTAGTTTGTCGATTTACTGCAAATATACCCTGAATTACTATATGGTAATAGTGATACATGAAGAACGGTGGACATGGCTGTGCTCGGTGCTTATGCTAGCTTTGATTCCGAATATAGGTCGAGTTTTTTTTTTGTTAACATACGTGGACAGCTAACTATTGGTCACGTTACAAAAAAAGGGGGGGGGGGCGTCGAACAATATTAGAATAAATACGGCGTGTGCCTGTGACATAAGCGAACTAACTCTTATCTTTCCACGCACAAACCCTTTCATATTCATCGCATTATGTGATTCTACGTCGTCCTCAACCGCACCTTTTTTTCATCGGTCTAATACCACCCGATTCCTTTACAAAGCTTTTCAGAGGCGGATTCATCAAGAAAGAGAGGGAAAGGGGGGGAGTGAGTGTGATCGCCATACCCCTGAAGCGTTGTCAGCACCCCCTCCCTCTCTCTCCAGCACCTGTCGTCCACCTCCTATCTGCAATTTGGACAAATGAGTGGGATCACTATGAACACGAATGAACAATATGTTGTGGTAAGGTTCTTGTGACGGGGTTCTTGGAACTATTAAATACTCCCCCCCCCTTACCCAGTTATACGGCAAGTGATTTGATTTGATTTGTGGGGTTTAACGTCCCAAAACCACGCTATGATTATGAGAGACGCCGTAGCGGAGGGCTCCAGAAATTTCGACCACCGATACGGCAAGTGACCTTTCTTCTTTAAATGAGCGTATGGATAGGCCACGACCATATATGCAATTTGATTAACTTACACTGCTTTCGGCATCGAAAGACACTCACCCGAAGCACCACGTTGCTTTCGAAGACGCCGTAAGACCTGTGCAAACTACGAACGACCATTACGGGCCACGGGAGTCCCGGAACGGCTGGCAGTTTGCCCGTCACAGCGTCCTCGACCATATCGTTCTCCGCCAGGACTTCGGTGTCCTCTAAGTGCGTGTCCTGAAAGGAAACGAAAACGGGAACGCTTTCGTGAAGAAGTGCTTGGAAGCTTATATTTCTGCCGTCTCGGCCGTTCGGGCGAGTTCGCGATTCATGATTATACATGAAATGCGAACGCGTAACACAGACAAGGGCTAAGTAAGACAAGGACAAGCGTATTCTAACAACTGAGACTTTTCATTGAGAAAGCTGTGACGTAAATATACTGGCAGGAAAAAGGAGTTTTGTACAAATATATGATAACAAAACTTAAGGAACAACACCGACGAGAGGTGCCGTACTTCTGTATAGGGAGTCATATATGTGGCAAGTGAGAACTAAATAAACTGATAAAACTGGTAAAACCCACACGTTGTCGAAGCCCGCATTGCCTTGCAGAAAAAGCTGACGCCTTCGGCATCAGCCACTTTCCAATGCCGTATAGGCATTAAGTTATTTTTGCAACGAAATGCAGCATCTGGCAAGGTGTGGTAGCCGCTTTCATCGGTTGTTCGTTGTTATTTGCTGTGTTTATTTGTCGTGCGTTCCTACGGAACTTGTATCTTTCAGTATATTAATGTCACAGCTTTTCGAATAAACGTTTACTGGTAATGCGCGTCTGTTTTTCTCTTACCACTTCCTGTCTGCATTACGTGCTCGTACTTCAAGTCGCAAACTCACCAACCACAATCGCAGAAAATATACTCCCGCAAGGTCCTGGGCAGTAATGAAGGTATACCAGCGGTCCAGGGTTGAGGGTGAATAGACTGTACAAAATGTTAGCTAACGCTCCCATTTCTTAAAGTACCTTTCTCATATCTCATACATAAGTATTTTCTGAATGTGATTTCGCGCCAAGCCTCCAAACACCTATCCATACCTGTCTCGAGATTCGCGGGTGCAGATAAAGAGCAGATACTAGACCTTCTTTTTTAAGTTCCGGGAGAATCCACGCGTCATCATAGATGCCTGCTGCGAAGAGTGGGGCGACGAGAACGCCTCTTCGTCCAGCGAGGTCATCTCGCGTTCAAATGTCTTGAGCATGTACTCGATGATGAGCAGCATTACAAACACCGTGGCGCCCTGAAACGACAGCCCGATCACCTCGTAGTAGGCCGAGTACGAGTTCTTGTCGAACGGGTGGATCAGGTAGGCGGTCCGGTTGGCGCTGTAGATGTCTGCGCGGACAAATCGGTGGCTTCGTGGAACACGCGCAGATGCTGTCATACAATCCCAGCTACCTTTACCACAGGCGTACGACTGATGATATGTGGGGTTTAACGTCTCAAAACCACCATATGATTATGAAAGATGCCGTATAGTATAGAGGGCTCAGGAAATTTCGACCACTTCAGGTTCCTTAACGTGCACACAAATCTGAGCATACAGGCCTGCAACATTTTCGCCTCCATCGAACATGCAGCCGCCGCTGCCGCGATTTGATCCTGCGACCTGCGGGTCAGCAGCCGAGTATCTTAGCCATGAGCGTTCGTCAATTGTACCTGATAGACCACCGCGGCGGGCCAGGCGTACAACTCGACCAGCTGAAGAGACGGAAAGATAAATGTAGTGTAACGAGGGCAGTGGGCATGGAGCTCGAGTATAGAAAAGCAAGAAGACTTGCTGTGATCGCAGGCTTGCGTTCAGTTAGCCCTTGCGCTAAATAAAGCTTTCGTTCGCTGAGTCAACTCCTGCTGGTTTAACACCCCGTTTCAATAGATAGATAGATAGATAGATAGATAGATAGATAGATAGATAGATAGATAGATAGATAGATAGATAGATAGATAGATAGATAGATAGATAGATAGATAGATAGATAGATAGATAGATAGATAGATAGATAGATAGATAGATAGATAGATAGATAGATAGATAGATAGATAGATAGATAGATAGATAGATAGATAGATAGATAGATAGATAGATAGATAGATAGATAGATAGATAGATAGATAGATAGATAGATAGATAGATAGATAGATAGATAGATAGATAGATAGATAGATAGATAGATAGATAGATAGATAGATAGATAGATAGATAGATAGATAAATAGATAGATAGATAGATAGATAGATAGATAGATAGATAGATAGATAGATAGATAGATAGATAGATAGATAGATAGATAGATAGATAGATAGATAGTTTCGTTATTGCCCAACAAACAAATTAGGTGATGTTTCTGAATTCAAGATTAGGAATGGAAGCTCAGCTGAGCGGAGAAAAAGAAAAGTACGACTATAACGTGACTTCCCCCTTTGAGTAGTCTCAGGCGGGTGCTTAAAGGAGCCTGTGGATTTACATGTTATCTTTTGTTCTGTCTATGACGGAGCGTTCGTTTCGCAAAGAAGTGTCACCACTCACGGTCGCAGCACTGCTTCAGCGAGAGCTTGGTGTCGGTGACCTTGCTGTTGCACTGGCTCTCGAGCTCGATGCCGCCCGCGTGGCACACTGAGCTCTCGGCGGCCAGCTGCAGGATCTTGGTCATGGCGCGCGCGTACGAGCTCGAGGGGAGTAGCCGAGTCACCTTGCGCGCGGTGTTGATCACGTACGAGACGATGGCGTTGTTCACCTCGTGCGCGTAGTACTCCATGAACACCTCACCCAGGCAGCCGACAGACGCTGCGAGAGAGAGAGAGAGAGAGATGGCGCATGAGCACTCGATGGTCCACAACCCGGTTGCTTAGCGGCCGACGGCGTCTTTAATGTGGCGACCCACTGGTTTGCGCTAATGCCCACTCACTCGTCCAGCATTCATAGATACAAACATTTCACTTGCAGCAAGATGGCAAGTTGGGCCAGTTGCACTCGCCTTTGCAATCTCCTCGGTATTTGCATGGACATATGCATGCCTAACCGTTCTGCGCCCACCGGCATGCACACTTGAACTGTATTTCCCATACCAGAAAGGAGGAAAAGGCGAGTTGCCAGAGCACTCTTCCTTCGCCCCGTGAATACGGTAATGGTCGATTACAAATAAAGAAAAAGATTTTAGCCAGTTTCACGCCGTGAAGACCGTACAGCAGTAAAGCTGTCGCTCCTTTTGTTGCGCATTACAATCTGTTCCCAAGTTTCGACAACACTTCCCTTGGGAATTTCAAACTGAATCGTGATGATTACACTACCTGCTAAATCACCATTCAGCACTACCATCATCATCACAATTTTGAGGATAATCATCATTTTTTTTATTTCTTTATTTACTCCAATGCCTCTTTGGTCACCTGACCTGCGTGGCACCTATACTACAACTGCCAGAGTTTTTCAATCATAGCAGTTATGGAACTGCGTTCCAAGACCCGTACATACTGGAGGGGCCTCTATATTATTCCACTATCTGGGAGCAGCCCCGCGAAACGCTACATCGTGCTCCTGCGTGAGTTCTTCTCAAGGTGCTCAACGCCGCACGCAGCACTGGCGTTGTTACTAGAGTTTATCAGTTAGTGTTTTGGTCAACAGGTGACACTCACAGGTGGCACACAACAGGTGAACAATCAACGGAATCCGGCAACTTCGGTTAATGACGAGTTTGAATTTTGATATATAGGGCCTAAAGGGAGTTTTCACAGCTCGAATGTTTGAAGAACTCTGCTACCATACTGTGGCAACGCGAGGTCACAGGGTAGAAAAAGAGCTTTGCTGTCATAAGCAAGCTTCACCCACAACCACAGCCATTCCTTGCAAAAAAAATAATAACAGATGCCTTCAGCAAATACTGTGCTCCAGACTTTTGTGCCATCAAGCGCTTCGAGTTGACCATATTTCAGCGCACGGGTACGTGTGCGTTCGTGTCTATGACTTTAGACATAAAACTTGAACAGTCCCGACAAGTTTGACAAGATGCTCGTGGTCAGTTCTCAGTCAAAGACAATATTTTGACCAAAAAGACAATCTTTTAAGGGGAACGCCTTAGGTGCCGGTTCCCCGTCCGAGGTACTCTGCAAGACCTTCCTGTGCCCTTAAAGGGTCCCTGAAACGGTTTTTTCACATTCTGTGTTTGATTAGAGCACTAATGGAGCAAACCATTGACACCAGAGTTCAAACGATACAACCATTACTAACGGATATACGAGTACCAAAAAGTACCCTTCTCCTCCGCTCCACATTTCACCCTCAACTGCCCCCAACTTTTCCTTCAAGAGCTCGGGGCTAAGCTGCGCCTTCACGGCGCCTGCGTTACGATGTGGCGTGAAGCCGCATACGCCTAAATCCTGCCACCTAACCGATTCCGGGAATCTGTGCTGCGCGTTCACAGCCAATCAAATCAACTGGAAACGATGACGTCAGTGGGGCAGAGCGTGTCGCTTGGTGTATGGGCGGTTGAAAACGCATTGGCCGAGTCGCAGCGATCTGCAGTGATCTGAAGCGATTCGCAGCTTGAAAGCGTTGTAATAAATTACACAGTTTACGCAGAGAGCTCAAATGAGTCTTTAAATTACACTTGGGACTTGGTCTACTGGTCCAATGCGTTTGCGAAAAATCGTCAAAGCCGTTTCAGGGGTCCCTTTAAGGTCTCGCACTTCCCCATTCAGAATACTCACGTGACGTTTTTCCTTATCACGTTCCACCAAAACGTTGCTGATTGCTAACTTAATTGCCGTCATCGTGATGTCACGAAATGGTGTCACATGACAGCGTCATCATTTCACGTCATGGGATTAAGAGCAAAATCCCGTAACCCCTACGCCAACGCGGCAGAGACAACCTTTTTATTCGAGTATTTCTGACACACTATATGTCAAGCACTGGTTCTATTAGGCCATATGTTGGGCTACGTTAACTTCGGTATAAAAACGTAAAACATTTGGACGACGTAGGATGCAATGCTCACATAAGACGAACGTGAGAACGGCGAGCGTCGAAAAGCCATGCCCCGGGTTATCGAACAGGAAAGATGCCAGGTAGATGCAGGGTAGCGCCGCGTATCCGTGCAGCAGGTTCAGCACGAAGATGAGGCCTGCGAGAACATGAAGGTATGCCCACACAGTTTTCAAGATGCTGTGACGTTACCACGGTCACTTCGCTCCGCGGCTCATTTGATGACGCACAAGTGGCCATGGTGCATGTTCGCGCCACGCGGAAAACTACTTATGTTTACCGGTGTTAGGGTTTATGAAATCCGAAGTTTGACGGCAACCCATCTGGCACAGGAAATACATGGTTTAAACGCGAAAAGACGCAACGACGGAAAACTAATCTTTAATTGACGTTTCGGCTACCAAGGAGCGTTGTTGGTCTCAAAACTGCTTTCGTATGGTGTGCTAGTGGTTGCCACCCCCCCCCCCCCTGAATTTTGAAATTAGGCAGTTTTCCTCGAGTACATGCATGTACACATACAAAAACACACACAAGCATAAAGGTAACATATATAAAGTTTACCAACCCCTTCCCCGCCCCCCCCCCCCCCCAAAAAAAAACGCTTCTGACTGCGTCCCAGCCTGTGAGACTCACTGATGTCTGTGGTGGTGAGCGTTCCCGCCTGGAACAGCCACAGCGGAGGAAGCACGCACAGGGCGGTGACAATGTAGAAGAGGAAGTCGAATACGAAGTTTAGGATCCAGTAGAGCGACGGTCTCAGGCCCGTCAACAGGTGCAGCTGCTTCACCTGCAAACGAACAACGACGCGCCCGTGAGACATCTGGGCGACGCCATCTTGGACTGTTAAGCGGATGCGTTTCTGATTTTTGTACATCGTGACGTGAATCAGTAAGGCCATGAAACATCGCATGCACCGAACCGTGTGTTTTAATGCATGTTTGTCTATCGCAACACTGTTCGTTTAGCTGCTAAGGATGCCAAACACAATGATTAAGTGCCCAATATGGCGGCACTCATACGCCTCCGTAAAAGAGTCTACACACCTGATAGCAACGGTGCCGATAGCTGGGCCAGCAGGGATGCCATCCTAAACAATGTCTAATCGTACCATGCTGTCGGATTCCGCCAATGGTCAAGTCTGATTGGCCCGGACTATATACTGGTATGGCCTCTCCGGTTGGCTTAAGATGTCACCATTACGAAATTCGATGAGATGACGCGATTTGACATTGCCCAGGGGCACTATTTGGAGACTGTGAAATTTTATTAGTTTGTCTAATAACACACGTGGTGTTTTTGCTCTACACGACGGTTCGAGGATATGATACTGTTATGTAGTGCAGCCCCATATGGCTAGAGAGAGCCAGAGATGCGCGAAGCCACCTTTTGTTCGCGAAAGAGTAACCATAAAGCGGTAAAGGCTGTCGAATAGCCTTTCACTGCATGCGAAAGACGAATTGCATGCACGCACGACGCCCCAGGTTTCAGAGTAACACGTGGCCTGATGTCCTTTCCTGTGTCGCTGCCCACGCATGAATGCAAATGACCTCTTTTTCCCCCCTCTTTCGATAAGAACGTTCGCGAGCTATGCAGATGCGGTTAATGTGATACATTCTTTTTTTCGTGAGTCAACCACAGTAGTTGCCTTGTGAACAACATAACAGAAGAACAAAAGTGATATATCTCATGATGGGCGTCCATATTTCAGTCACTTTAAAGATCTCCATAAATATCTATGTGTCTCAACAAAGCTAACGGCAGATTACATTCAGAAATTATCCATATGTGAGATCAGAGAAAAAACGTCGTACTTCATATGATGTCAGCTGACATTTTGTTCTCTTTTTCACTCTGTGCTCCCCAAACTTGTTTTCGGGCTATTATTGCACGAACTTAATTTATCGCAGCAAAATGAGCCAGCAGACCAATTTGTTAAGCTACGATTCCTAGCATTTAACGTCTTACGCGAAATAAGTATGGCAAAGTACATTACCAGTGTAATCAATGAAAGCTATCATGGACGAACAGCTATCCGTTCTACGTATCAATATTGCGTGTGCCAAGTCATCCGACAAGAAACAAAACAATTGCAATCTTTGACATACCATGGGCGAAGAATCTACATGGGCAGAAACTAGTGGAACTCATTGGCAAAAATATATAGAATCATATACCACTTGAGGGAAAACAAACCAAAAATGTATCGCACTGGCTAAAAAGATATCTACAGCAGAGAAAATCTGAGCATGTGTAGACACATAAGCCAAGTACACACCTTGTAGATATATCCTTACATACATGTCTTTTGTTGTTTCTCATATTGTCAACTTACCATATTTAGGTTGTTACCAATATTGGTGTTATGACTTTAATATTTAAGTTAAAACAACAAGTGTAATTCTCTTTTATATATTCCTTATATGCATTGTTTCTTTTTTTGTGCTTTTCTACCTCCTGCTGTCGCTTGTTTTGTGTCCGAATACCACTGATGAACACAAGTGTCAAATACATACTTTTAAATGACCCCAATACTAGCCTTCGGCTAAGAAGGCATACAGTGTTTGCAACCGATTTGTATTTGTTTCATTCTAATGAACTCCTGTCAATCACTCACGTTTCTGGGCACTACAGTCACCGTGCACAGTATAGGACACTCACCAACAGCGCCCTCTCGGCGATAGGAAAGAGGACGAAGTTGCTGCACATCAGACTCGAGACGAGCGGCAGGAAGATGGAGCGAAGGACCTTGGGGAGGACCTCGCGGTACGTGTTCTGGCTGCGGATCAGCTCGCTCTCGCCCTTAGACGACGTGGACGAGACGTTGGCGGGCGGCGCCGAGACCACGCCGACGCTGAAGTCGGCATCCGCCCGCTTGGTAATGTTTCGAAGCCGGGCCCTATTGTACGCCGTCAACACCAGGGGCGCCGTGTGCTGGATCTGGCCGTTGTACCACAGCACGGTACTACATCCAGAAGCGAATGGCGAGAAGATTTCTATCAGTGGGGGCACGACGGAAGAACGCAGCCTATGTAGCGTCAAATATCAAAAGAGGTCACGTAGCTCTTTTTCGGCGTGGTTAGAAAACGCTGCCGATCGGTTGTAAAGGCTCGGAGGACACGCGAGCAAAAGATGATAGCCACATAATGCGCACACCACCGACGACCGTTCTCGTAAAATCAAGTGTCACAGTTCCTGCACGAGGGACTCTCTCTCTGACAAAGACGGATGGTGCGTTGCTTGTCTGCCAAAAGGACAATAAAGGCAAGAAACAATGTATGTCAGAGAGAAAGCTTAATGCATGACAACATCTAAAACGGCAATATTATCAGCAGCAGGGCCTTACGTAACAAGAAATCAAGCTAAATGTACCACATGACGTGCGCCACGAGTGCGACATCTACGAAATGATCTGATGACGTGAGAGTGTCCGCGTATAATTCACTACTAGTAATAAAACTAGCTGTAACAAAAGATACTTTTCCTGGCATCAAGAGCTGCAATAAAACACTGATTGTCTGTTTATAATTCATTTATGGAAAAATAATTACCTGGTAATTACTATGCGGAATGGCACGAGTAGTTCAAAAGTTCGTTTTTGGATAGTTAGGCTGGGTAGCTGGTATCATCTAGCGGGGCTCAGTTGAACTAAGCAAGCAGAATCATGGCCTCCGAGATCAGAAGATTGTTCAATGGCCATTGTTGCTACTGGGGTTCCCACTACTTTTGCTCTGCTGCCACTGGTGTCGGCGGTCGCGTAGTAAAGTCAGGCAACGTTGGACACGGAAACAGTGACGTGTAAGAGTCCGCTTTCAAGCACGGGTGATTTGAAGTGCGCTAAAGCAATGCGGACCATTAAAATGCGATTTCATTTCAAGATAAGCACTTTGGCACAAAACAAGAACCACGAGGTTTCTGTACCGCTATTTCAAAAATTTACGTCGACTTAATATTTGCCTTCAGTGTCATTTCAAGAATTCGACGGCTGGTCTAACATGTGGGGGAATCTTATCGCATGCCCCTCGCAGCGACACATAAGCCGGCTTTCATCTCTACTTCAGCCGAGTTCGTCCCTCCCGTTCGCGTGGTATTACCCGCCGGTAGAACGTATGATACGCTGGGGGAATCTTGTAAATTTGGACTTTATACCCGACATGACCCCGGCGGCAACGACAGAAACCCGTCGAGTCGGTTCATACAATTTGCTATTGCAATAAAACTTCAGAATACCTCAAACGCCGGTGCATTATAATAAAACGAAGGTTTAGTTCCTTTGCGGTTGCCTTGTCCCTAAATGCGACTAATTGTTTGGTCTTGCTTGCATTTCCTACTGTAGTGTTTGCTAGTGAGAGAATTAGAACGACCTTACAAGATTTGCTGCAGATCAAAGTTTTTGCGTGACAATTACAAATTAAATTGCTGCGCAGCAGTAGAGTACTGACGCGCAAGTGAACAAGAATATCGATTTGAAACTAGGGCTGCGATTGGCGGTAAATGGTGCCGGACAAGGTGGCTCCCGACAGACGCCCTCTCGTGGTCCATGAACGTTCGCGCTCGAGTGCACAGTCATAATTGATCATACGCTAGTATGGCTAAAAGCGGTTGACATACATCCGAAACTGTACATACCCGGTCGCCTTGGTCATTTGGTAGCCGAAGTGCGTGTTGAAAACGTAATTGAACAATTGGTCGCTGGCCATGTGCAGCAGATAGTAATTGATATCCGTGGACACCGGCAGGCGCTCCACGGAGAACTGGGTGGCGGACTTGAACAGTGGGTCCAGGTACTCCTCGCGAAATTTCTCCTCGATGTCGGCTTGCTTAAATCCCTTTGAGCGAGCAGTGATGGTTAATAATATGCAAATACAATCTATGCAAGTACACACAGATACGCCGTGAAATGTGTATTTATATACAGTTCGATCTTGCTATAACTGTGATAAAGCAAATCATCGGTTATAACATACTAAATACGTACTTTGGCAGGTCGTGCTTTATTTCACCTACACTTATTTTTTTTTTCATAATGAAGCCAAAAACGTGACAATGGCCAAAACATCATCTATCTATCTATCTATCTATCTATCTATCTATCTATCTATCTATCTATCTGTCTGTCTGTCTGTCTGTCTGTCTGTCTCTCTGTCTGTCTGTCTGTCTGTCTGTCTGTCTGTCTGGTCTGGTCTGGTCTGGTCTGGTCTGGTCTGGTCTGGTCTGGTCTGGTCTGGTCTGGTCTGTCTGTATGTCTTTCTGTACAATCTACAAACCTTCACGGTGCTCACCTGCGCGAGTCCGATGACGACCGGGAAGCTGTACTTGAGCGTGTCGCCTACGTGAAGGACGTCGCGCGAGGAGCCGTGCAGCCCCCAGATCTCGAGCAGGAACAGCACGGTAAGAAGGAACTGGGGAAGCACCCAGCTGAACAGCGGCATGCGCTTCTCGCGAAAAGCGTGGATGGCGCGCTTCACGAACACCGCCCGCGTGCGAGCCCACAAGGACGCCCGCGATGCCTTCGTGTTCGCCAGGATCTTCAAGAGCCGCTCTGTGAGGACGACGGCGAGAAAATTCATTGTTATCAATTGGCAGCTCATTCAATGGTAACTTAGGTACAACTTACACGTTCCCATGCCGTAAGTGCACAACGCAACTCTGATGTTGAACTAAAACCATCGCTTTTCGTCGTACGGAGCAGTAATCTTAGCCCGTTCCCTCTGTGCCGTCCTCCTCGTACCATTGTCGGACACAACTTTCCCCCTCGAAGGCGGATGCATACCATGCTTGCGCCAATGGGCACGCACTCGAGACAGACAGACGGACGGATGGACAAACGAACGGACGGACCCGCAGCAGCAAATGTTTTCTTGTTGTTGGATAGTAGTAGTAGTCGTAGTAGTACATGCAGATCCCTAGACCGGAGGAGGAGTGAAAAAATCAACGAAACGATCATATAGCAAACTGATGGTCCTCTCTATGATGATGATGCTAGAAACGATGACGACGCCAAATTATGTTGACGTAGGTGATCTCACCAGGTAATCACATATACACTCACGAAGTTACAGTTTACATGGCCGACAGTTTTCACGACGCCTAAAAGGGCGAGTTCTTTTGAAGATAAATAATTAATGTTCGGAAAAGGGGGAAAAGCAGGTGCTCCAGCGCATATGCTCGTGCAAGAAACATGGGTGCCCCTCGGTGCACGTGACAATGTTACGTTGTTTCTTGTACGCGTAAGCTTGCGCACGGGGGCAAAGTGAGGCACCTCTTCTCTCAACCATGTAAACGATGACGCCGATCTCACTCATCAGTCGTAACTATATCACGTCACTTTTGTAAAATCCTAGGTTAATGCTACGTATGTCTTATTTTTTTACAATATTGGTGGCCAGGTTACCTTAATTTCGCATTGCAAGAGACGATTACTTCCCACCCTTACTCCATGAAAGAGGCGTACCAATGGCTTTTAGAAGTGCTTCCACTGAGGCTACTTGGTACGGCCTTTGTGGTTGGCATAGCGGTTGGTGCATTTGACGTTAGTGGCTATAGTTGGTACGTAAATTGACAGTTGGTGTGCTTTTTAGGCAGGCTCTAGTCCATTTCGTGTTCTTGTGCCATCTGTCTCTGTTCATCTATGCAGCGCGTCGTTTCACTTCACAATACTTGATATTTATTGATTAATACGTGCGGTTTCATGTTCTGAAACTACCATATGATTATGAGAGGCATCGTAGTGGAGGGATACGGAAATTTCGGCCACCTGTTCTTCTTTAACGTGCACCCAAATCTGAGCACACACGCCTACAGCATTTTCACCTTCATCGAAAATGCAGCCGCCACAGCCGAATACGATCTTGGACCTGCGGATCAGCAACCGAGTACCTTAGCCACTTGACCACCG